TGGAAGCTTGCATGCGCCTGCTCGATTTCACGATTCAGGGGAAAACCCATGCGGTGACACAGCTAACGGTTCATCTCGAGTCAGGCCAGACAATTTGCTTTCGCGAGACGGAAAACCCGGAGGCGGTTTTGGAACGTGGTAGTCACACGATGCTGACCAGATTCTTTGAGTTGTGTGCGAGTGAAGAGCCTCAGAACCATATTGCCAGGACGATGTTGTATCAGGATATCCCCAAAGCGTTCTGCTGGAAAGCGCCGGAGAAAGGGCAACCGAAAAGGTGGGTTCGCCGGAAACAGTATCAAGCTGCCGTTGGTCGCATGATTCACGTGTCTCCTCGAGATATGGAGCGGTTCTACCTTCGGCTACTGCTCTGTCAGCGTAGAGGTCCAACGTCGTTTGAAGACTTGAGAACGGTTAACGGGATTGTCTGCCCAACATTCCAAATTGCGGCGCGGGAGGCTGACTACTTGGAGAATGACAACGAGTGGGTTTCGTGTTTGAGGGAAGCGGCTGACTTCCAAATGCCGTATCAACTACGCCAGCTCTTCATCACCATTCTGGTGTATTCAGCTCCGGCAAATGTTGGTGTTCTATGGGATCCGTTTTTCGCGGATCTTTCCCAAGACTTCGCACGCAAACATCAGGCTTTGATGGACACCTTCAAGTCGGCGTTGGTCGAATTTGAAACGCTGATGGGCATTCAAGAACTGCTTCAATCGAGCGGGTATGCGGTAGCTGACTTCGACGAACTTCCTTAGTTTGGGGTCGTTCCCAACATTGATTCGTGAAGCGCTTCGCCAAAACGGATTACTACGAAGTGAGCTCACTGGATACGATGCGTCAGCTTTGGAGGCGATTGTAAACACAGAAGATCAGCTAAACGAAAGTCAGCGGGTGGTTTACGACCACATTATTGAAGCGGTTGAATGCCCGGAGGAAGGCAAGAAACTATTTTTTGTCGATGGCCCGGGTGGTACTGGAAAATCTACACTGCTTCGAAATATACTGGCCAAAGATAGACTCTCGGGGAAAATCGCCATCGCTGTGGCGTCTAGCGGTATTGCCTCGCTCTTACTTATGGGTGGTAGGACAGCGCATTCTACATTCAAGATCCCTTTAAAATTGAACGAGAGCTCGACGTGCGGTATCAGGACGAACTCCCATATTCAGGAGTTGATCAAACATGCAAGTTTGATTATTTGGGACGAAGCACCTATTGTAACGGGGTTACATGGTGTGGAGCACACAGGGGTACGAAGTACCCGGAGAGTTAACAAACTCTCAGTACATAAGTTGGAGAGTTAACAAGGTCTCTCAGTACGTTGGCTGAAAGCCACACGTTATGCATTTGATTAGGTTTAACTATGCTAGATAGTTAAGGAGATACATTTACCCCTAGGCGGCTTGGCCGCAATAATAGTAAATAAAACACTTCTGGTTTTGAAGCATAAAAGTTAAGGTGTTAACTTTGAGCCCTGGTCTTGGGCTGTAAGTGTCCTTTGGATAAGGAACTTAGTATTAGTGACTCTTTGAGTCGAACGTCTTCCTCTGACGCTAAAGCTACGGCAGCCCCGCTGCACCTATGGCATATCGCCACGCATTCGAGGCAGTCGACAGAACACTGCGGGACATACTTGATAACGATACCGAGCCTTTTGAGGGGAAAGTGTTTGTACTTTCGGGAGATTTCCGCCAGATTCTCCCGGTCGTGAAGAATGGAACACCTGTCGAGACAATTGACGCTTGCCTCAAGTCGTCTAGGCAGTGGCCCCAATTCCAGACGTTCCGTCTTACGGAAAACATGCGAGTGCGCACATATGATACTGCAGACACTGCTGAGGAAATGGCTGCGCTCTCCGAGCTCCTGCTGCAAGTCGGGGAGGGAAGACATGATGTAACTCCTTCCCTAGGAAGCGATTACATGAAAATTCCGCGCGATATGCTGATTGAGAATCCTCCTGTGCCAGAGGACGAGGACCAGGAAATTCGTCCGGGCGTTATTCCAAGAGGCATGGATCGGATCATTGACGAGATGTATGGCAAGATTAATAACCCCGCGATTGCTACCGACGAGTATTTCGCTAACCGAACGATCCTCACGACCACGAACGCAATCGTGCACCGCATCAATGAAGCGTAGACCGATCGATTAGCTGGACAGGCGCGGGAATACATGTCTTCCGACTCTGTACAAGACGACGGTGACGGCAATTTCTTCGAGCAGGAGGTACTCCACTCGATGAATATCAGTGGAATGCCTCCCCACAAGCTGACCCTCAAGGTAGGAATGCCTATCATGATGATGCGGAACTTAAATCCAGATCTAGGGTTGTGCAACGGAACACGGCTTTGAATTGGGGCCCTCAAGCCACATGTCATCCACGCCACAATCATGACCGGTGAGCGACAAGGGGAACATGTGTTGATTCCCCGCATTGTTTTCATCAGTGACGGAGACATTCGGAGCTTTCCGTTTCATTTGAGACGCAAGCAGTTTCCTGTCCAACCGGCCTTTGCGATGACGATTAACAAGGCGCAAGGACAAACGGTGCAGTACTTGGGGCTGTATCTTGCTACGCCTTGCTTCTCCCACGGGCAGCTGTACGTTGCGATGTCGCGAGTTACTTCAAGATCAAGATTTAAGGCGCTGGTCGAGTACCCAAAGCTGGAGGAGGAGGATGGGGTCTACGCCCAGAACATTGTCTACAGGCAGATCTTTGGTTCGGAATAGGAATGTTCAATTTCATATGCATTTAATACATCACGTTTACATAAATCATGATTACGCCGGAGCGCAGCGAAGGCGGGAGCCCATTACCTCTTGGACTAAAACCTGCCACCTCCGCCGCGTAGCGGCGGCAAACAGCTAGTCCTAAACTATCAATGCTTGCACGGTGTCCGTCCGTCCGTCACACGAAACGCTCAGATTTTTGAGCCTTCCCATTGGCTGCCGAGCGGAGCGAAGGCGGCTTCGATTGGTTTAAGCGGAATTATGTAGCTTACATCAGTAAATTCATGTGGTTCACAGAGCACATATGGAGATTTGCACAATACTATCCATTATCCGAAGGCGGCATCGCTTTAATATTACGAAGTATAATATTTACCATTTTAATAATATTAATACATGTTGCTTTTAATATTTGAGTGCTAACTACTTATTTTCAAATGAAATAGCCCCTAAAGATGCTTCCAATGCTGCGAGGTGCTTAAACTACACGTAGGAATACGTGTTTCCAAGGACATGCTATAAATAAACGTAATAGTATGTACTTAATAGGTTTTGCAAGTTACAATGATTGTAACTGTTTTGTTGTAGAAATATTTATAAATTATCTGAGAGTGAGGTAACTGACTGAACTAGTACATGTACAACAGAAGCTGGCCGTAAGAACAACGCTTTGTTAATAAGCGTTGTCACTTGATCCATAAAGATAGATACTGTAGTTTTAGATTGAACAAAATGAACTCATATGTGTTACTGCTGTAAACCATTGTTTTCTAAGAGTTGTTTAGACAGCAAAATCCGATACTACTTAACTGGCGGACGTGTCGTCGACAGGGGCGTAGGATACGATTTTAAATGGAGCGGCAATACAAAACAAAACTCGAGAGATATAGTTGGTTAAGTAGACCCCATAATGAAACGCTAATAAACTTGGAGCCTAAATGACGTCCAATAATTATGGAATCATCGTTAAATTATCAAATACAAAATCACCAGCAGCAGCAGCAAGGCGTCTTGCGACACAATATTAAAATGTTTCAATCAGAACTGGCACAGATTCGAGTACTAATTCTGAATCAGCACAAAATGAGCGCTACATACATTAAAAATAGTAGAATTTAAATATTTTCTTAGCTTTCATTGAGTTTGATATGAGAAGTGAACAATCTTTATTAATAGTTACTTACAAGCTGAATTAGGCAGTAAGTAGTGCAAGCTGGACAGGCCATTACTATCGTTTGCGCTGATGTGAGCTAAGTTTCATAGCGGCTCAGAAATGGTCCGTTATATCGAGCACGGCGCAAAGCTAAATATTGTGTGGCGTTTGTAGACATGCTATTTGAAGTGCAGGTGATTCTGACAGTGATAGCCAACAATAATAAAGCGACTGTGTCAAGATCACTACAGGTAGAATAATCTTTTTTTAACATTGAAAGTGATGCTAGGGGCTTAGGTTTTTGGTAAGAATTGCACGGCTTACTGGGAGCTCAGCATTTTGTAGCGAATCGTCTTAGCTAAACCCAGATTTATGAAATTAAAGAAGTCGATTTACGCACAGGCAAACAACTTGAATAAAACCCAAACTACCGCCGCGGAGCGGCGGCGCTCGGCTAGTCTATTTTATAATACCAACAAAAGTACCAATTGGCTGTGGCTCTAAATTATATGATTGCATGTACTTGTGTCTAAGCCTTCTTCATTTCATGATGTTTTTTTTTAAATAATTCTCTCTGCCACTGTACAGTCCAGTGACATTCCAACCCTCTGTTCTAACTGTAACTCTACCTTCTGGTATAATTTATGCCGACATGTAGATGTGAGATTAATTTCAGGGCTACATAAAATAATAGCAATGAGATTTATTTAACCAAACACTAGTTCATTAATACTCTCACGGAGATCAATTGCTGTGTGAAATAAAACAACTACTCCACACAAAATAATTTCAATGAGATTCATTACCGTGACCACTGTAGTACTGAAGGTTGTGGTTGCTCGGCGATGACAGCACAGCGCGCCAGAATAGCTATAACGACTCCTTAAATAACAGACACGAACGACAGAGGCGTAGTGAACGACCGCGGAGAAATGCGACCGCATGATTTGTTCTGCATTAACACAAGCGAGCACCTAGCTTTTTACTGCAGTACTATACGTATCCCAAGCCAATGACAGGTAATACGTATGGCACCGCCCGAAGCAAATTTATTGATGGTTCTAGGTTCATCTCATCACGACCACACTGACAATTTGCCAGACACTTGCCAGACACTTACTTTGCAAGATGGGAGCGACCAGTCCTGTGCAGCCACTCACTGTAGAGCCTGGCGTATCTCTTGAACCCCGACGGTGTGCCCCAACGGCCACTGTTCATCATTCTAACACGAAAGGTGTCTCTGAGTTCCGAGTACGTTACCCCCTTTTCGGCCATCTTCTTAAACCCGGGTACGAGTACTTTTTGCTCCCATTTGAGGTACCGCGCTTTGATTGCTTGGAGTGCCTTAGTGAGCTTTTGGCTCACTCCTTTCCGCTCTTCGAACACACCTTCTTCCTGCTTCAAATTCACGATTTTGCTGCTTTCTCCCCTCAGAAATCGCTTGGTATGTTTAGGGCCGTCGTCGGTAGCAAGGTCGCGTGATCTCACCGTGGAGTAGACTGCGCGCACGAGTCGCTCATTCGAATCAGCCGAAGCAGCGGCACAGCTTGATAAGGCGATCGAAAGCATCGAGATTAAAACCCATAGCAACAGGCGCATGGCTCGCTCAGGGGGTACAGCAACAAACACCTTCTGATGCGCGTGACCGCTTGCTGACGACTTTCTAAATGGATTATGAGTTCCAACTGAAGAAGAGGCTCAATTAACATCGGCCAGACGAATCGTCTGGCCGATGTTAATTAAAGTGGGTTCACTGAGCTTGAAGCCTGGGTAGAACGTGAACAATACCCATCCAAAGGCTAACAGATTGTATCTGAACATAAGTTTTCTGTCCATAATCCGTAAAAAATAGATTGGACTGTGAGATCGTGAATTAGTTTCGGTATTATTCAAAATACCGGTACACAAAACACTGTACATTCCTTACCACTTTAAAGTATAAATACCAAACATGCTCAGTATGCTTTAAGGGCTTTATTTTTTACACTAGCCGAGCGCCACCGCTACGAGGCGGTAGTTTAGGTTTTATTCTAGATGTTTGCCGTCCCGCCTCCACTTCGCTTCGGCGGGAAAATTATTCCAAAAACTCTGAACCTCCATGTGCCTAAATCGACTACCTCGTGAATGTACAGTACTGCATCCCGTTTTCGCGCCCTCGGACCTTTGGTAAACTTCCGGATATGATGATCCTGAAAATAAATGAACTATTGTTGCTCTGCTAAAATCTGATTTATCTGTAAATCTAATATGATCCACCACCGCGAAAACAGGGTGCAGTACTGTACTGACTTGATCAGAGCTGAACGCAAATCACACAACTTTTCCCCTCCAAGCTGAGATTTTCTCGGCGAGCATCATGATGACCCCTGCACATCATGACCCCACTACTCACCCGACAGTTGATCGACTTCTCCGTCGTACCTAGTTGGGAGTAGCTTTCGCTCCCGTTGTATGTGCTGTAGTCGACGTTCAGCTCCATCCTCACGCGAATTCGTCACCGTAAGTGTAAAACAAAGTTAGTAAAACAAATACATTAATGTAGTACGGTCATAATGTAGAACGGTTGAGCGGGTGCTTGGACTAGTCTCTGGCACATTTGAACCTTGGTTGAATGATCAACCGTTCAACTGCTAAAGATTACGAAAAGAGTTCCACTTTCGTACTGGGACAAACCATTACAAGTATTATAGTCCCCCTTTATTAGCGTAGGGGTCTTCTGATTAATTTTACATAGGGAATTCACAGCGATCTGGTGGTTTGACAAATTCGCCCTCAATTTAGGTGATCCGATATAAAGGGGCATATAAGGTATACAGTACAGGGACTTCTTTACTATACTGGTACCGGTACATGTACTCTGTACACTGGTCCAGTGTACAGATCCAGTGTCACTGGATAGTCCGTTCATATTATGTAGTCCTCTTTGAAGTGGTATCCCAAATAGTGATACCCTCTACATTTACTGAAATAAAGGAGGTTGGAGTGCCGTGCTAAAAGTAGCGCCATATTGTACTTAGTGATATAAAATCAAAGGACATCACTATGAAGACGGACTTAACTATTAACAATTTATTTTATAAAAAATAGTTAGGTAATAATAATATATTAGATGTTCGCTTCATGAGCTATGTCCGAATAAGTCCAGCAGCGATATTTGCTTCTTCCGGCCCCGTTTGTACCCAATTAAGTACTTTCGTCTGCGACTACGCTCTCTTCTGGCGGGTTTAGCAGCTCTTCGACGGACAGCAGGTATTATGTGTAAAAGCGCGATATTATCTCGGCAAACTCATCGGTGATGGTGTCGTCCTCTCTCATGTTCTCTACTAAAGTACTCCAGAAAGCCCGTGTGCTTCCAGCAGCTCACAAAGATAGGTACGGGTATAGAATCCCAGAGCTCCATGCTCCATATCAGACCTTGACGCAGGCCCACGCTGTACAGCATTGCAGCCATGGCATTGTCCATTGAAGCCCAATAGTCATAAAGGCGATGGTACTCTTGTAATGATACAGCTCTAGATAGTGGTTCCTCCAGATTGTGATAAAAATGGCTCCCCGACGGTAACACTACAAAGAGGATTGTCTGTATTGTAAACTGTTTTGTTCCAGCTTCAAACAATGGCTTTGCACGAATCCAGTGCCGGGACTCCGGGACCCGGACAGCATTGGGTTCGAGATGAGGTGCATTTGTAAAAGAGAAACGCAAATCTTTCAAACAAAAAAAGCTCACAAAATTTGGTGAATTGGGTCAAACGTTAAAGTTTGGTAGAGCATTTTGTCTCGCCAGTACAATAGTACAACGCTATTACAACTTGTACCTTAATTGCCCGCTGTTAGGCATCGAGGCTACAGCTAAATTAATATTTTCGCCAGCATGTTAGGTAAAGACGCAATGCAATAGAAGAAACTAAAACCAGGACTGTTTTAGTTAGTGTTTGTTCGAGCAAACACTCGATAACTCGCTGGGCTGGTTTGGTTAATTGCCCGTAGAAGCCTTCCGGAATGGTATTCAAGTATCAGACAACATATTCTCTACAAAATGCATTAATCAACACCTGAACGTAGAGAGATTCAACATCTGCGAACACAGTGTTGGGATACTCAACGTCGCGGAAGCCTCTGAAGTCAGGACTAGGTGGTGGCTCCTTGAGGAGACACTTGCACCCCCCTATCAACTTTTGCTGTTTGGCAGCCCAAACTACACCTTTGGCTCTGCCGTTATATGACAACCACAAACTACTGTAAGTTGCTCTCCTGCTAGATATTAATACAGTAGTACAATACCGCTATTGTGCCTTTCCAAAGTTTTGGCCAATCTGACCCTTAAAGGCTGGTCCTAAGCAAGCGTGGGTAGGGCTAAAGGTGGGATTTGAGGACGAACTGGAGTTGAATCGCTAAGCCAGGCCACTAAATAAAATGATATTTGACCAATAATACTGTTTGATTTTGGCGACTATGATCCAATAATACTTGATTGTGGAGGTCCTACGCAAGGGCTCCGATTTGGTCTAAAAGGTACATTTTAGCAAATTAAGGGCTGAATCGCCAGTATTTGCCGGCCATTTACCCTTACGCAAGGTATCTACAACAGATTGGTTTTAAATAAAATATGGGCTACTCATCAGACAAATGCTGGCGAGGCATTGTCTTGCAGTATGTCTACAATATTGAGATCAGCGTAGTATCCGGTGTACTGGGCGTCTCGGCCAGAAGCCTTCGGAGATGGTACCATCTCTTCAAGACAACAGGAAATGTCGACGACACCCGAAAGAATGAGCGGTCATCTAAATGGCCGATTGAAGTGCAACAATTTGTTCGCGAGTATGTAAAGCAACACCCCTGCTTTTACTTCCAAGAGCTGCGTGAGGTATTAAAAGAGAAGTTTTCAGCCCAACATTGCTACTCCGATTCGACAATTTGTACGGTTCGATTTGGGGCTATCGCAAAAAGTGCTGACTAAAAGAGCTCGTGAAAGTATCCCAAAAGAACGACAAAAGTATGTGAACAGGCTATTGCCTTTCTACAGCGGGCCAGATCAAATCGTGTTTGTCGATGAAACTTCAAGGATGGAAGGTAATGTACAATATCAATTTTGTGACTGCTACATCCTACCTTGTTAATTTGTTGTACGATATTGCTATGGTTTAGGTTCTCCCTGAGAAAACACGCGTGGTCCGCGCGTGGAGACCCAGCGGTTGTGTCCATTCCATTTCCCCGCGGGAAATAAATCTCAGTTCTTGCTGTTCGACGTTGAAGGATTTTTTTGCGTGGAGTACAGCCGAGAACACTTTCACCCGGCAGCCGATCCACGAGACTTTCAAGTTGAAAATTCTACCATTCCTCAATCCGTGGCCTTTACCAAGATCAACGTCATTTTGGACAACGCCAAAATTCACATGAACGAAGAACTTATTCACGGTACTGGTGCACTGTTATTTTTCCTACCGCCGCATTCACCTGACTTGAACCCTATAGAAGTCGGATTTTATCTCCTTAAATGATGGATCCAACGCCACGCAAATATGGCGCTCCGTGAAAATCTTCTTGCGGTCCTCAATGTCGCGCTGTATTTTTGCAGTAGACAGTCTGAGGAAGTTGGGCAAAATTTGTACGACCACTGTAATGGCCCCTCCATTACATAAGTAGGTAGATTGCTTTACATAAGTAGATGCATCGGCACACGACTAGCGTGTGCTGAAATGCTGTCATGCCATTGGCTGATATATGGGGAGCCAGACCCATTATTAGCCAATTGGACTATGACGTGTATTTGAGTGGCCAGGGCTGTGGCCTTGGTCATAAAAAAAGTCAGAGTTTATTTTTTACTTAAACCTAAGACTAAGTCGTCCTATTGCGAGCTTCCACGACACTATAGTGTAAGCAAGTAATGGAGTAAATACCTGGCCCGTTACACCTGGTAGCACTTTGTAGTCCTTCCAATGACCAAGTTCGACATGAGCCAAGACCTCGACCACGCTGCTTTCCCACATCTCACTCGGATCGAGTGGGAAGCTCTCCACCGCCTCGCGGCGGTGTCCGGAGAAGCCGTCGTCACGTCGCTGCTGCGCTCAGCGACGCCCGACGAGCAGCGCGTTGCGGCACAAGAATTCATGGAACGCGAGCTCGCCGATGCGAATTGGCGAGTGTCAATTCCCTCGCATATCTCCACGAATGGCGCCGTGAAGCTAGAGACGTCCACCTACTCTGGTGCCGGAGAAGACCGACTTCCGCTGAATCGCTGGTTTCGAGAGGTCGATATCGCCATCGCCTCGAGGCTGATCGAGGCGCCTTCCGCGAAGGTCCACTTCCTCCTCTCGCGGCTGTCTGGGAAAGCCAAGGAATGGGCTCTCGGCAAGTTGGTCGTCGATCGCAACGCGCTTCTCTGGATACCCTCCAAGGTGACCTTCGGCTCGCGTTCGAGCCGCCGCAAGATGAATTCCGAATTCGGCCAGACTTCCTCGCCCTTCGGCAAGGCACGATGACTATGGGCGACTACGTCCAGAAGACACGACACCTCGCGTAGTGTTTCGTGTCGAAGCCCATCGATATGGCCTCCCAGGCGCATGTGTTCGTGTCCTGTATGCGCGAAGACATGACGCACT